ACATACAATAATAAAATAAATAAAAGGGGGGGGCTTAGTCATCACGATCAGATAGAAATGTCAGAGATTCAATATGAGTTAAGAGAGGTCTCCAAGTTCTTTCAAATGAGTTTAAGGAACCATTGAGAGAAAATCTAAGCTTTTCAAGTCTATTGGACAGTAACAGCTCTTTCACCCACCTGGTGTGAGATGGAGGTTGAGCCTGTTTCCAATAAAGTAATATGAGTCGCCTGGCCAACAGGGTGGTAAAGACAAGAACAGTCTGCATGACTTTAGTGGTAATAGGCTGCAAGGGGGCACCAAATAAGACCGAGAGGTTCAGGCTTGATAGTAATATTATATGCTATGCTGATGGTTTTGAAGATTTCGGACCAAAATGTGGCAAGCCTGGGACAGAACCAGAACATATGGGAATGGTCGGCTGGAGATTGTTTGCACCTATTACACGAGTCAGTTACATTGGGGTAAATTCGAAATAGCCTCAAATTAGTGTAATGAACTTTGTGCACAACTTTACATTGTAGAAGGCCTTGCCTCGCACAGATTGAAGAGGAGTGAACCAACAGTTAGACTTGTTGCCAATAATCATCAGGCAGCGTGGTTCCCAGTTCTCGCTCCCAAGAATCCTTGGGGCCGGACACTGGGCTATCAATAGTAGACTATACATGCTGGAAATTAGCTGCCTTTTTTCAGGATCAAGAACCAATAAGGAGTCTACCAGAGTTTCTAGGGGAAGGCTAGGGAATTTGGGGTTCTGGTTTCGAATAAAATGCCTTATCTGAAAAAAACCAAATAGGTGGGAATTAGGTAAGTCAAATTTCTTTGAGAGCTCAGAAAAGGACATAAAAATCCCTTGGTTGTAAAACAACAATGTAAATTTACATGGTGCTTTCTGATGAAGTTTCCTAATGGCAGCATATATAAAGTGAGAAATGTCTGTCCCAGCACAAAACCATGGGAAACTCCATGACTGTAATAACATGAACCAACTCATGTACATCAGATAAGTAGAACTTAATTGCTTTGCAACAGTTTTTTCAGTGATTTCAAATGAAGGTGAGGTTGGATCTGCATCAAGAATAGGCTTTTTAAAACAGTAAATGTAGCCTTATTAGAGAGGTAAAATTTAGGAAGTGTTTCAGGAACCCTCATACTGTAAGGCTGTAAGAAATTTTCTGCATTTATATTTCAGATACGTTTTATCAAGGAAGCAAGGAAGCATTTTCATTAACGATCAAGATGAATCTGCTACATAGACAGAGTTTAACCAACTGGACAGTATATCTTGACTAAAAGAAATACAGACTGCAATTACAGTGTTTGATGACATGCTACGTCACATGTTTTAGCTCTGATTGGTTTAAGGTCTATTGAATGGTGTCCATGGCTATTGTGATCTGTGACTGTTGATAACGCTCCTTGGAAAAATAATTTTGGAGATAAAAAATGGGTCAAATCCTGTTGCCCTATGTTGATGATATTATATGTTTGATTTTCGCTGTCCCCTTTCAAATCTTCCTTAGCCATAGCAATCAAAAGCACCACAAGCAGTGTCACTGAGAACTCTGTTTCCCATCATGCCCTCTTCTTGGTCCTCAGGGGCTGTGAAGTACCTGGAGTGCTCTGCGCTGACTCAGCGAGGCCTGAAGACAGTATTCGATGAGGCCATCCGAGCTGTGCTCTGCCCTCCACCAGTAAAGAAAAGGGGGAAAAGGTGCACCATGTTCTGAAGAAAAAACACTACAGTAACACTACACTACATCACCATGAACAACGACCAATATTTCATCTGTTTTTTTTTTACCATTAATGAATAGGCCATAGGTTCTGAAAGACAGTGACTGTCCACTTTCTTTGTACTCATAGAATCACATCAAGTTGCATGAGGGCTGACAATGGTATGTATAGGCCTATTGGTTATGATAGCGCTGTGCTCAACAAAACAATTGCTGTGATCTTTTGGCAGCAAACCTACAGGTTAGCCACATTACTTTGGAAGGTTAAGTCAAGACTAACAACAATAATAGATTCCTAACTGGGCCCTGTGTTCACTCTGTGGTAATTAGTTTGATTAAATGGTAAACACATACTGAAATGGAAAGGGCTTCAAGCTGACTTCTGAGGCCTGTCTTATAGAGCGGCCAAGGGTAAAAAACTAGCATTAATAACTAAATAAATATATAACAAAAGTAAAGCTGTTTTCAGACAGGAACTCCGGAGAATCAGGTCCGGAGTTTCTCCAGAGGTTGCCTTACACACATGCACAATGCAACGTGAGATTCTCTGCTCTGACGCATTTGCAACAGCAACAAATCCTCCACAGGATTCAGGTGAGGACTGGTGCAGCAGGCAAAGGCAGGATGCAAGATATTAATATCGCTGCAGAGATCACCTGTTTTTGTTTACAGCTCATGGACATCTCCATCTGTGACATCAACGTCTTTGTCTCCACTTTTTCATCTGGAGATATTTTATTTCTTTTTGTTTTTTTCTTTTTGCATCTGTCGCATGTTAGAAGCGGCATCAGCCAACCCGTCCCTCACGATGAATCCTGTGAAAGAGTTCCTGCTGTGCTTTCACATCAGCACCTCCCGACTTCCGAGGGGGCCAGTCTGAGAAAGTCCTTAAAAACTCCAGAGGCTCTCTCATACACCTTTGCTCCGGAGGATCTCTGGAGATCAGTGCATGTTTGAGAGCAGTTTAAAAGATGTGGCTGTAAAATGCTATTTACTAGTCAAGTCAAGAATTAATATTCAAGCTCAATGTTAATAGTAGTCAGACAAAACAAGATTAACTGAAGGTAAACCCTTTGTTTTTTTTAGATTTTAACTATGTGTCATGTTCTTTGTCAATGAACACTATCTTGGGATCAGTCATATGATTTGTTTTTTAATTGAAATGTTTCACTTTTAGCAAGGTGGAACTATTTTATCCAGTCTGTGCTAATTTTTTAAACACTTCAGTTCTTACTTCTGACAAAAATCGGATCTTTGTCAAGTGTCTTTGGGTAACTTTATCTAACTGTGACAGAGCATGCCAAACGTGGGGGCTGTACAACCTTGATGCCTGAGTTCTGCCTGTGGGGGTGTGGGAGCTTGCATGGGTCTTAGAATATTCTGCTTTAATTTATCCCATCATTTCGATTTTGTCTCTGTTCCTCTGTTTGTGTGTTTGTCTGTGTGTATGTATGTGTATGTATGAATGCTGGTGTTTTTGTGTTTGGACAAGAACGTGTCAAAGAGACAGTGTTGTTTGACAGTTTGGGATAGATTATAAAACACAGTATTGTTTTAAGTTTGTTGTTTGATACTATTTCATATTGTGTTGTTGGACTACACAATACATTTCAACACTGTGGATATAAAGAAAGAAGAAAATGGGTATCAATGACATCTTGTAATGTACAGAATAATGCTTAGGAAAAAAATCTATCTATGTTCCTCATTATTTAACTCTTAAAGTTAAAATTAAAGGGATTATAGTTGCTCATGTCAAAGCTAGAAGTGTTGCTAACAATGTTCGATAAAGGTTCCGGTCTTTGTGGAGTTAGTCATCGTGGCAAACAGCACAGATTGCACCTTTATGACATGCATTTCTGTATGGTTGCAGGCCTGCAGTCTGTCTCTCTCATGTGGTGAGACACAGCACTGCATTCCATTCATGCTGTCTTTGGTTAGCATAGCAAACTGTGTGGTTGAATCATGTCATGTGGTCCTGCCTAGCTAAGGTGTCGAAATGTAGCTGAGAAATGCAGAAAAAAAATTCTTATCTACTATTGCATGGAAGTTCACTGGTCATTTGACCCATTGTTATTCTAAGGAGAGGTTGTTTGTTGAAATGCATTGACCATGTACGTATGTAATGTAAGACGACTTGTACACGTTTTAATTGTTTGTCTTATATTTTATTACTTCATGTTTGAGTGGTGAAATATTTAAAGTTTTTGTAAACTAAATACAAATGTCTCTGTAAAGTAGTTGTGCTTTCTGTTATGATTTAATCTCTGCTCCAGCCTTTTCCTTCTCTTTATCCCACAACAACCACATAATGACCTATTGTAGATAGACATTACAACAATAACGTGAATGAAAAAGCTGTTGTCCCCAAAATATATAAGTAATAAAGAGATTAACATGTGTAAAATGAATCCAAGACAAAGTAAGGTGGGTAAAACTGGTATTTTCCAAAAAGTATTAACAAGATAGCCAAACAAATAAATATGAAGCAGTAACTGAAAGGGGAACTCCTCTTTGATACAGGGGAGGTCAGTACCTACAACAGATGAGATTGAAAGAGCTGCAAAGCTGAGACGCCAGCTAAAATAGCTGGCAAGTTTAAGTTGAATTTTGTTGAGTTTATTTTTCGTCAGGGGTGAAAATAAAGATGCTTAAACCCAAATGGTTTGTCTCTGGCTGCTGTGGTGAGAGCCCGGTGGTATGGTACGCAAACATTGAATACCTGGCTCTGAAATGCAGTAATTCATTCCACATGCCGAGAGAGTTTACTGCAATCTTAATCACAGCTGTTTACATACCACCACATGCTAACGCTAAGATAGTGCTGGAGGAGCTATATGATGCCATCAACAGCCAGATACTCATAGAATCAGGTTAACACAAACGTCCCAGACGCATATAAAATGGCATCATCCCCCCACCTTGGCTTATCAGACCACATCTCACTGGAATTGACCCCATCCCACAAACCTCTAATCTGCAGAACAAGGCCAACCAAACTGTTAAAACTGTCCAAGTCTAGAGGGAAGAATCCAAAACTTCACTGCTGCAGGACTGTTTTGAAAACACAGACTGGGACTTGCTTGAGCAGAGCACAGACCTGGGGAAATACAGCTCATCTGTCCTGGCTTACATGGCCTTCTGTACTGAGACCGGGCTTACCACCAAAACCATCAAGGTGTTTCCAAACCAGAAACCTGGTTGGCTGGACAGGAATGTACAGACTCATCTAAGAGCATGAGATGTTGCCTGCATTTCAGAAGACAGTCTGGCTTACAGTAATGCCCGCAGAGAACTAAAGAAGGGCATCAAAGAAACCAAAAGCAGATAGCAGCAGCATATCGAGGGGCATTTCGAAAACTATGACCCCTGCAGCATTTGGAGAGGCATTAAATTCTTGAGACTACAAGAATAAAAACCTCACAGACCAGCCATGACGCCACGCTTCCTGATGTCCTGTACCGGTTCTTTGCTCATTTTGACAATCACACCAGCAGTGGAAACTACAACACCACCAAGCGAGGAGCCTGAACTCGTCCTCCAGCGCCACCAGGTGAGATCCACTCTGTTGAAGATTGACATCACCAAAGCAGCAGGACCAGACATGGTATCAGGCTGCACCCTGAAATCATGTTCTGACCAACTAGCAGGGGTGTTTACCAACATCTTCAACCTCTCACTGCAACAGTCTGTGGCCCTCGCATGCCTCAAATCCACCTACATCACCCCTGTGCCCAAAAAACGAACTGTCAGAGACCTTAATGACTATCACCCAATAGCCCTGACACCGATTGCAATGAAGTGCTTTGAGAGACTTCTGCTTTATCACATCAAGGCCAACATCCCCACTGAACTGGACAGCCACCAGTTTGCCTACCGGGGAAACAGATCTACAGAGGATGCTGTCTCAATAGCAGTTCAATCAATCAATCAATCAAATTTATTTATATAGCACGGTATCACAACAAACAGTTGTTTCAGGGTGCTGCACAAAAGTCCAAGATCTTAAGAAACACAAAATTCAACTTGTTCCACACCGAGCAAGCATGAGCAACAGCGGGGAGGAAAAACTCCCAGGTGGAAGAAACCTCCGGCAGAACCAAGCTCGGTGTGGACGGCCTCTGCCAGGGCCGGTTGGGGTGATGGAGAAATAACAAGTAATACAGGGGAACAAAAGGAAATGAAGGAGGGGGTTGAGTCAAGTGTCAGGTCAGGGGCTTGAATCCAGCCCGGGAATCTCCACATGGACGTTTGCATGGTCTTCCAAGGGCGCGTTGGTCCCCCCGGGCACTCCTGCCTCCCTCATGGTTCACATGCGCAGTAATAGGACCCATGGCTCCAGAGCCGGGAGGTCCTGAGGTGGGAGTGCTGGTGGTTGCGTGACCCTCCATGTCAGCCCTGCGAAGGACCGGCGACCTCACTAGGTCCATCCCTCACCAGGAGCCGAGCCAGGACGGGCTCCGGAGAGCCGCACAGTATGGACCAAGGATGGGAGGAGAAGACCCAAGGAGTTAGAGATATGTAATTAGATATAACAAAATAAACCAGGCAGAGAGTGAAAAAACACTTCACTTCATACATCCCTGTCCCATCTGGAGTATTCAAATACATACGCCATGATGCTATTTGCTGATTTCAGCTCCGCATTCAACACAATAGACCCTGATAAACTGGTAAACAAACTCAAAAACCTCAGACTAGCCACCACACTCTGCTCATGGATAATGGACTTCCTCACAAACAGATCACAAACCGTCAGGATGGGCAACCACACATCCTCCACCCTCATCCTGAATACAGGAGCACCGCAGGGCTGCATGCTCAGTCCTGCTCTCTTCACCCAGTTCACTCATGACTGTACACCCATCCACTCCTCTAACACCATAGTGAAGTTTGCTGATGACACCACTATAGTAGGACTGATCTCAGACAATGACGAGGTGCTCTACAGAGAGGAATAACAGAATATCTGGTTGAGTGGTGCACTGATAATAATCTGGTCCTCAACACCTCAAAAACCAAAGAGATCATCATGGATTTCAGGAGAACCAGGAAGACCACATCGCCCCCTCTTCACATAAATGGTAAGATCTGAGGTGGACACCTCCCACCTGGTGAAGAAAGGTCAATAGAGACTCTTCTTTTTGAGGAAACTCAAAAAAGCGCAACTCTCCCCAAGCGCCTTGTCAACTTCTACAGGAGCACCATAGAGACAATTCTATGCCAAAGCTCCACCGTGTGGTACACTAGCTGCACAGCAGTGAACCACAGAGACTTGGCCCAAGTAGTCAAGACAGCTCAGAGGACCGTGGGAACCAAGCTCCCAACTCTGGACACGGTATATGCTAGCCGTCTACACAAGAGGGCTGTGGCCTCCATCACTCTATCACCCCCCCTCTACACACAGACACACCCACCCCTGTAGCAGCACATCAATCAGTCATGATTGAGCCAGCACCCTTTCAACCAGGCTGCTAAAATATAGAAGTGTTTTACTTTTTATTTCTGTATTGAACTGTTTATACTGCAGTACTGCACACTGCACTATCTGCACATTTTAAACTCTGCTGTATATTTTATCGCCATTGCTATTTCTATAGCAATGGTATAGTAATTGTGTTTTTATATTTTATTATATTATTATTATTGCTGTTGGCTAGCAGAGAGCTACCAAACACAATTTTGTTGTACTTGCACTGTAATTTAACCTCTATGAACACTTAAAGTGCAGTTCTGGTTAAGATGGTAACTTTTTTGATCAGCCAGTTACATAAAATGCAGAGGAAGTCTTAAAACGGTGAATAAACTCTAAAACAACAGTTTTGGATAGTCAAAAAACAGCAGAAAAACACTTCAGGCTAATGCTGCAGTTTTGGTTAAGATGGTATTTTTATCACTCAGTTACACAACCTGCAGAAAAATGCTTAATACAATGGATTCAGGCTAAAACTGCAATTTTCTGCATACCAAAGTGCTCTTGGGCAAGATACTGAACTCTGAATTGCCCCAAATAGAAAGAAATGCTGCCCATAGTGACATGCACTATGTGAATAGCTAGCTCATATCTAGCTCATGTCTTTTGTTGTTACACATTTAGTTTGCATTCTCCCTAAACGTGTTTGGGTGGAGAGTTTTTTCTGAAATGAGAGAGAAAAATAGAGAGAGACTATGGGATTACAAAGTGAAATAGTCATTGACATGTATTAAAATAAATAAATGAGTGTGGGGGGGCTCAGTGCATGATGGGAGTTCCCCCAGCAGTCTAGACCTATAGCAGCATAACTAAGGGATGGTTCAGGACCCTAATCCAGCCCTTACGATAGGCTTTATCAAAAAGGAATGTTTTAAGTTTAACTTTCAATGCTGAGATGGTGTCTGCCTCCCGCACCCAGAGTGGGAGCTGGTTCCACAGGAGAGGAGCCTGGTAGCTGAATGCTATACCTCCTGTTCTAATCTTACAGACTCTTGGAACCACAAAAGAGCCTGTGTTTTGTGAAGTGATCTATTTGGATAGTGCGGTGTTATCAGCTTCTAAGAAATGTACAGCTGGGTGTCATCTGTGTAACAATGGTAGTGTATGTGGTGCTTTCTGATGATGTTGCCTAAGGGGACCATATATAAGGTGAAGAGTTAACAAATTGAAATCTATCTGATAAATATGATTTAAACCAGTCTAGTGCCATTCTTTTGATCCCTATATGTTGTTCTAGTCTCTGTAACAAGATCTTATGATCTATGGTGTCAAATGCTACACTAAGATCCAACAGGACGAGTCCATCATCTGATGCCATAGTAAGCCGTTAGTGACTTTCAATAGTGCTGTTTCTGTGCTGGATTCTAAATCCTGACTGGAATTTTTCCAGCAATCCGTTACTATCTAAGTAATCACACAGCTGGTCAGCAACGGCTTTTTCTGGGATTTCTGAAATGAAGGGCAGGTTGGATATGGGTCTGTAATTATCTAAAACCCCTGGATAGACCATAGGCTTTTTAGGTAGAGGTTTAATAACAGCTACCTTAAATGCTTGTGGTACGTAACCAGTTAACAAAGACATGTTAATCTGATTTATTGTGGAACTGTTAATTAGGTTTCTGCTAAACATAATAGATCGATTTGATTATCAGTCATCAGATCATTAATATGTAACGATTTTGTATTGAGTGACCTGATATTTAATAAACTGCATCTTATAATTTTGTGTTTTGTTACTGATATATTATTGGCTGTGTTAACTTTTATTAGGTTTGAATGTATTACCCCTCTCCTGTTTATGATGATGGCTTTAGATACTTCAGATACTATGGCCTTGAAACCACAACTTTATGGTTTCTCATGGTATCTCTGGTTGGGATCTCACACCTGGGGTCTCACTTGGGGGGTCTTCCACGAGCATGTAAACTCATAAGGACAGGATGTCTCCTCCACTGAGTGAAACTATAGGGTAATAAATGGGGGGGCTTGCTGTTTCTGTAAACAACAGAACTTTCAGAGGTGAAAACAGGGAGGAGCTGAAGACTACTCAGAGGGACCTAAAAAAACAAGTTCAAGGAGGCAAAGGACAGCTACAGGAAGAAGCTGGAGGGGAAACTCCAGCAGAACAACATGAGGGAGGTCTGGTGTGGAATGAAGACCATCACCAGCTTTAGAC